TAGAGCCGTCCTGTGGTGATGGCGACACAGGACCTGTGAAGGGGCATCAGAGTCGGGCTCTGCTCACTCTGCCCCACAATTATATCCGGGTGCAGGCAAGGCGCCGAGGGTGCCTCAGGGCTGCGCTCTCATGGCTGGGGCACTGGTTTGCAGTGAGCAGCACTTCAGCTTGGTTGACGTGGAGGCTGCAGACCCCCTGCAGGGCTCTAGTGCTGCAGGCGGGCTTCACAGAGAGGGTGGCTGCACGTTGCAGGGCCTCAAAGGTTCACAGGGTGCTCCTAGCCCTGCAGCCAAGGCTCTTGCTGTGACCGGCGCTGCTCCGAGGGTGGCAGGCAGTGTGAGGGGGGCCTGGGCTGCTGGCACGGCTTGGAGCTGCCACCTGGTCCCCTGCCGGGGTCACAGGTCCATCCCTCTCTCTTATGCAGCTCCAGAAGAAAGACCCTTCGCTTCCCCTCGCTGCACACGCACACATTCTGCCCAGGAGCCCCTCTTGCCAGGGCATCTCCAGCCGGGCAGCTTCTCCGCGGCTTCTTTCTCCTCCTGCATGGCTGCTCACACCTCGGTAGGACTCAGCATTAGCAGCAGAGGAGTCTCCAGAGCACAGAGGCTTTTCCCTGGGGGCCAGCGTGAGCCAGGGGCCTGGGGCAATGGGGACAAGCATCTCTGCAGAGGAGATGTGCCCCACGGGCCGGGCACAAGGACAACTCCTGCCTGCACCGCTTCTGCTTTGGTTGCCTCCGACAGTGGTCAGTCACTGCACCTGGCCTGCTCTGACCAGATCTGACTTGCTCACACCAAAAAAAAAAGGGGGGTTCTTTAGAGAAGGGACCCTCCTTTAAGAGAAGTCTGCTGCCTTCCTTGTGTCCTGGTTAAAGACCGCACCAGCAAACTTCTTAGGCTGTTTTGACCCTCTATTACCAATTGCTGGTCCTGCATGTACCTACATGGTGGGCAGAGAGGAAATGTCAATGTGTAGCCTGAGGAAAATCAAAAGGAACTTTGAGGATTTGGAAAGGATGGTCAAGAACTTGGCTGCTCGAGTTATCTTGCCCATTCTCCCCAGTGGTGACAGCAGCACAGTCTGTTAACACGTGGCTCCATGGCTGGTGTCATCTCCAAAACTTTGGGTCTTTCAGCAACAGGAAACCTTACATGGCACCTGCAGGTGCACTCTAGCCAGCCGGGAGGCATCTGGGAGGCCAAAGCAGGGCTGGGCACAGCACGTGCCCTCTTCACAGCCTTTGCAGGACACGGCTGCATGTGGGGCTGTGGTGCCTGCTTCGTTATTTACCGAAGCGCTCTAGGAAAGAACACATCATGATAACGCACAGAATAAGCCTCAGCAAGATGGGCTCTGTGTAACACACAGGAACCAAGATGTTCAGGCACTTCTTTACTCCAGAAGCTTCTACAGCAGCCAAGATCATCCCCAACTCCTCCCTTTTATAGGCCAAGGTCACCCAGTGCTGCTTGGACCCAGTTTTAACTGGTTGCAGCTCCCTCACAGCTCCTGCAAGTGCCAGGGCGGGCCAGTCTTGCCCGCAATAGCCCCTGCCCAGCGTTTTTGTTTACATCCCCGAGCAGCTGATAAATCTCCAAGTGCAGGCCGTGGGGTGTATATCCACAGAGCAGGCAGCGGAGCCAGCGAGGCAGCAGGCAGCGGAGGGGAGGCCCGTGCTGGGCTGGGGCGCTGGAGCTGGGGGATCACACCCGACGTGCAGAGCCCTTCGCCAACCCCTGCATGGGGAGCCCTGTGCTCGGGCTGTGTTGCTGGGCATGGGCCTCGAGTGCCTTTGGGTAATCGTATTAAATGACTGAGTTTGTTCTAGGTGCTGGCTGCTGTTTCACCTCCATTTCTCCTTTCCTCCATGGGGACCTGACGTAGCAGGAAGGACACTGTGTTTGCTTGCTCTGCTTTCCAGCCCTCACTGCGGCACTGAGGCTCTGTCCAGGGCAAGAGGGGCAAGAAAAGAGAAGAGGCATCAAGAGCGCTCTCAGAGGGCCTGCCCAAGGCCAGGGTTGGGCTTCCAGGACTCCTGTGACATCACTCCTCTGAGACGGCCACGGATCTGCACTTCTGGGCTGCGGCTTTGCTTTGTGGCTGTCAGCAGTTCTTCAAGCTGTGGCTTGGACCGTGCAGACTTGCTGTCCTGTAGTCAGGGTTGCCCAGTTGGTGCCAGGGAACACCCTGGCAGAGAGCCCCAGAGACTCACTGGGTGCCTTGCTCTGTCCCCTGCTCTTCGGGGACAGGCTTTTGCTTGTGACCTGAGGTGCTCTGAGTGCAGCCATTGGGCTGGTGGGGCAGGCAGGAGGGGGCTCATGCAGTGCCGTGCAAAGCACACGTTCACCAGCATCGAGGAGTGGGGGAAGCAGGGCCTTGCCCTTGTGCCCTGACATCCCTTGACCAACAACCTGTCCTCAGTCACTGAAAAGCACTTCAAAGCTCTACCAGATACCTCCTATTTTGCAGCGTGTTCCTGGTGGTGGCAGTAAGCCATGCCCACCTACATGCTTTGCCCTTCTTCTCCCTTGCCCTTCTTGGATGTGGAGACTCTTGCCCAGAAGCCACACTTGCTGCAGGTGTGCAGAGGGGTCTTTTGCCCAGTCCCTGAAACTTAAGGATAAGGAACTTATCCTTAAAGGATGAGATTGGGCAGCTCAGGAGTTCCCTAGTTGGGCGGTTTCTTTGCTGCTGCTTTCTCAAGCCTGGAGGGGAGTCATGAACTTGGTCTCCGTTTCTTTTTTGGGACTGGAGGTTGGCATCTTTTCTGCCAGAACCAGAATGAGCACCTCCATTTGTCCGAGGCAGTGGAATCAGATGTGCCCCACAAGCCCGGGCACAATGATGACTCCTGCCTACATGGCCACTTGCCAGAACCATTTTCCTTCAGCTGCATCCAGCAGTTGTCAAGCATCAATAGTGTGTCCACTCTGCAGGTGGCTGCTTGGTACCATCTTCTGCTGGGCGCAAGGGGAAGAAGTGATGCAGGAACACCACAGTGAAGGCTAGGGCTTCAATGGCACGCTGGGCTCTGGGACACCGCAGCCCCAAGGGAGACAACTGGCATGGCTCTTGTCGAGGAGGTGATGCAGGTGGCAGTGATGACCCATGCCCTGGGACAGGAGCTCCTCTGCACGTCAGGGATCATGATCCCTGAGGGACATGTCAGCAGGTTCAAAGCAGGTCCCCGGGGCAGGTGTGTGACAGAGCCAGTTTCAGCCCCTAAGGGCTGATGGCTCTTTTACCCTGAGGGTCAGGGCAGAAGAGCACGGCTCAGGAGACCACCCAGAGCAAGCAGTGAGTTACCACTTGGAAGGCTAGGCTTTTCAAGGAGAACCAAGTGGCAGCACCAAAGAGGAGGTCAGGACAAGTTGATTTTTTTGATATATGTCAAGCACATGCATAATGGCAGTGGACGATCCATCAGCTTTCCAGGAGCTGTCACGGGTGAAAAGAGCCTACGCAGCTCTCACGCCCCTTACCATGGAGTTGTGCTGTGGGAAGAGCTTCCTGGGAACTGTAACACCATGTTGGCTTGTAATTTCTTGTGGAAATAGCAATGGGAGCAGGTAACAGATGAGACAAGATTTCATTTGTTTTTGCCATGGCGTGGTTTATTCAGTGCCCGGCAATGGCTCGAAAGGGCATTCCCCACCCCATTCCCAGCTTATTCTTTAGCTGCTCTATGACGAAGCGTTCCTCACTATCTGCTGTGCCTAAAAGGGAGTAGTTGATGGTTGCAGCTACGTCACTGGGTCTCTTAAAGTCTTTCAATGCTTAGGAGCTCATGTCAGCTTGAGTGTTTGTTTTTCTAGGCTGATGTTCCCTTCACCTTGCTTGTGCTTTCACCTATTTTACCTTGTCCTTTCTAATCACAGCCTCGGTTCCAGTGCATGTCCCAGTAGCCTCATTTAGCGTTCCTGTGCAATGCAGGGAAGGAGCATTTCAGCAGGGAAGTGCAAGTGGCAGCAGGGTTGTGGGATGGTATGGGCTGCCAGATATCAAGCACAAAGGAGTGCAGTGGAGACAAAAACACGGTGGGGCTTTTTGTCTGCACGTGACTTACACAGGGTTAGTAGCACATTGGTCAGATCTTCTTTGGCTTCTCCAGCTAAGCTGGGTCCTACGCACAGCCGCCGTGGGAGCCACTCAGTTCTTGGCCTTCTTTGCTGCCCATGGCTGCACTAAAAGGGATTTTTTATAGTATTTTTAATGTTAAATTCTCTGAAAGACTCCCTTTACCTGTAGATGTCAATGTAGTACTATGGAACGTACTACAAAGCACCTAGAGGCTACCAGCATCTGTGAAAAGACACATGAAGTTCAGAGGTGCATGGAAAGGAATCCAGTCATGCTGGTTTAGACTGTCAGGTAAAATGGGAGTGGACTTTGGGGGCAGCAAATGAATATGAAGGTTTTTGGGGCATTGCATTTGCTCCCAATCTTAATGTTAAACCTAGACCATCTCCATGGGTGAGATTTGGCCAGTCTCCCATCTACAGCACAGGGATAAAGTTATCAGAGGAGAAACCTGTTTTGTAGCTCTACCCTGTTCTGGCAGGCTCTTTGCAGCCCTGCACTAATAGGAGCTTGAGCATTATCTCTTTCCAAATCACAATTCTTACAGTAATCCTAGTCCTAGCCTCCCCCTAGGCTGGGAGAGAATTCTATCAGGGGAGAAACATTTTGAAACCTGTTCCCTTCTTGGACATGTGGTGGGGTTGTGTGCTCTCCAAAAGACACATGGAATTGAAAGTCAAACAGTGACCCTGTGGTGCATCCAAAGGCAAACATAGGCCTCTCCTGGGTTGGGCTGGAGGCTGCTTATTCTGGCACTGGGTACAGAGGATCCTGGCTTGGCATCAACTCTGGGGACACTGGGAGGTGGAAAGAAAAATTCCAGGAATACAACATCCTCTCACTGGCTCACAGGGAAAGAGTTACAATGGCTGGGTGAAGGTGATGGTCCATGGCCTGCCAAGTGCCTGCCAGCCTTGCATCAGGGCCTCCTGCAGACAGACAAGCTCCTCCAGGGGTTTGATTCTTTGCGCAGATTGTGGCAGGCAACAGTGACGGAGCCCATGAAGATGCAGAAGCATATGCTGGCCAGGAAAGAGAATGGTCCGACGAGCAGAAAGAAGGCATAGTCCTGGACAAACAGTGAGTTCTCCCAGCACTGCCTGAAGGACTCGTTCCTGAAGGCCAGGATTGGATACTTGCTCAGCTGCTCTGGGAATGTGCACAAGAGCAAACTCTTCTCTGGAAGAGAAAAGTAGCAGTGATGGGCAGGTCACCTGGCTGCACTGAGCGGTTGGGTCAGGGTGGATGGGTGTCATGGACAGGGAGGTGACAGGTCCACGTGGGACAAATTGGGCCAGGGCAGGCGGATAAGGCTTGTGAGCAGCCAGGTGGGCCAGGATAGTCCAGGGCATGGTGCAAAGATGGGTAGCAGGAGGGATTGGGGGCCTTCCTACATCTCATGGCTTGGGGAGAGGGAGGAGCCGGTGGGGTTAGAACAGTGCAGGGAAGGGCATGACAAGCCTGGAAAATGAGGCTGGCAGGGGCGGGATGTGATGGAGCACGGGTAGCAGTGGGCAGGCAGGCTGGCAGTGCCACAGAAAGTCCCCAGCTCGGGCAGAGGCACGCAGACACCAGGCAGCAGCAAATGGTAACAGACGGCAGCAGTGGAAGAGACCTCTCTGATAGCTTTCTCTCACCAAGGCTTCCAAAGGAAGGAGATGAAGGATTGGACTGGCATGAAGACAGTGAGGAACGTATGAGGCAGTGAAGGCAGTAAGCCATGACAGAGTCAGGTGTGATGCCCTCAGATGCCCATTGCCCAGGGTCCCTAGCTCTTACCATGGCTGAACTGGTGTGAGTGGTGGGAACATGGCCCCTTCCAGCCCTCCAGAAAATCCTTGCTAGGGACCAACAACCATAAATCAGCCAGCTGAGGGTGGACACCAGGAATCAGACCCAGGGACATGACCACCCAGAAGAACACAAGAGACTCCATGTGCTGCTATGGGTCAGGGGAACCTCACTGCACCCTGCACCAGGCGCAGCACTGTGTTGTGGTGCCCAAGGTGTAGGCTCTCATATGGGTCTACAGCTGCTGGCAGCCACAGTGCTGGGGTCAGGCCTGACGTGGGTGCCAGTGCACCTGGAGAAGGTGAGGAGAAGGGGGACAGAGCTCTCTGCACACTTACCTTTCATTTTTTCCCTGTTGAGGCTGAGCCAGTGCCAGAGGGGCTGGATGCTGCAGGTGCACACCCAGGGGTTGCTGTTGAGGATGAGTACCTGGAGCTGAGGCAGGCCGTACAGCACCTTGGGCTCCAGCTCCCCCAGCCTGTTACTGCCCAGGTTGAGCATGACCAAGCTGCTGAGGGGCCGGAAGGCCTCCGAGGGCAGCACGGTAAGGTAGTTGTTGCTGAGGTCCAGCTCCTGCAGCGCTCCGAGCCCCACCAGGGCCTTGCTGTGAATGGTCCCCAGGTGGTTGTGAGGCAGGCTGAGTCGCAGCAGCATCGGCAGCAAGGAGAAGGAGCCTGGCCCCAGCACGGTGATGAAGTTGTAGTCAAGCAACAGGGCGCTGGTATTGGCCGGTATATTGTGCGGCACCTCATGTAGCTCATGGTCACTGCAGTCCACCTCCCCCACGGAGCAAGCACAGGCACCTGGGCAGGCTGGCAAGGGCAAGGGGCACAGGAGGAAGAGGAAGGCACCCATCAAGGTGCCCGGGTGCCTCCAGTTGCCCATAGCTGCCTACTGAGATGGCAAGGGCTCCGTACCTCCGGTGTTGGATTCCCTTAGAGGTGTGTTCCTTGTGCCTGTCGCCTTGCCCAGGCTACGGGCCTGTCCTGCTGGGCACCCTTGGGTGGAGCTGGGTGCAGGGCAGAGGTGCCGGAGAATGCCTGGCTGCAAGGTCAATGCGCTCAGCTGCTGGTAGCCCCTCGTGTCCGCCCGAACACAGCTCTCCACCAGCCTCCCTCTGCAAGCCCAGAGCCGTCTGCGCGTCCGGCTTCAGCTTTCCTCGGGGTGGAGCTGCACTTTTCTTAGCAAATAGTTTTGCAGTGATGCCTGCCCTGGCAAGGTGCGGCGCCGTGCCCTCATCCCTCCCCCTGCCAGGCGGTGTTCCAGCCAGGTAAGGAGCCAGCTCTGCACAGCCTGGGATTAACTGCTTGTGGGTGCTGCAGGCTGGAGAGCTGTAAGAAAAACAGACCCGTTTTTGGTCTTCATATTCCCCTCAGAGCAACCCCCACAAATGTGCTGGCCTCCACCCCATGGTGTACAGAGGGGCATTTGGGCCCAGGGCCCTTGTAGCTGCGATGGGTCAAAGCTTAAACCATATTATGGAGAGGTCTAATCCCATCTCCTGTGCTGACCCTACCATGCCCAGGAGGTCCTCAATGGCACTCTGCTAGAAGCCACTGGCCACCCTGCTCCTTGCCTTGGCTCTGTTTGCATGTAGTCAGAGCACAAGCTGTGCCAACGTAAGGAGAGATGGAGAGCCAAGCCTGCTGAGTTATCCACCCGTATCCCCAGAAGGATCCACTGGAGCTCCTGCCCAGGGGTGATGGAGGTGTCTTGCAGCTGACAGGACACACGCTGCTGGCCCAAACCACAGCCAGCTCACCCAGATGTCTTCACTGACCAAGTACTCTGGCCTCTAGACTGTCCCCAGAGAGCCTGTGCTGAAGGAGCTGGGAAACTTGGGCTGTCCCCTCACACACATTCACATGCACCAGCATGGCAGTACCCAGCAACATCCGCTTGAGAACCAGTGAGAAACACAGACATTGGGGACTGCAGCCACCTGACCCGCGTGCGCCTTCACCTTGGCACGACAGTGGCAGTGTGAGAGGGCTCAAAGTCTATCCCCACCCTGTTTACATCTCCACTTGTTTCAAAACTCTCTGAAAACCCATAACAGAGCTAACGAGGAGCAGGTTCAATCCCCACCACCTGGCAAAGCTCAGGTCTACTGGCCACACCACAGCCAGAGCCAGGCTCTCCCTGTGGCCCTGCAAAGAGCTGCTCAGTGCCTGTATGGGGACTGTGACAGCAAGACTCGAGGATCATCTGGAAGCCTTCCATCCCACCCAGTGTCCAGTGCAGTAACTGGGAGCAGAGGGGCGCTCCTCAAAATATCCTTCGGCATCCGTGGCCCAAAGGGAATCCCTGGCACCCCTGCCCCACAGCAAGAGCAAGGCAGGGTGAATATCTGCGCCCCAGGCTGGCAACGAGGCACTCCCAGATCAGGCACAGAAGCAGCAGACAGACCGGTTTTATTAATAGCATCCGGAGGAGCTTTGGTTCGTTCAAACTGGGTTTGCTGCATTAATCCTCATCTGGAAATAATTCAGCAGAATCTGCCAGCCCAGCCTAGGCCTGCCCCGGAGGAGGTCATGAACCCACAGGCACGTGGAGTGGTAGCACTGACTCACCCTGCCAGCAGCCCCAGCACTTTGGAGACTCAAATCGTAGGGGACCCCGTCCCAAAATGCTCTTCTTCCTTGCAGCATGCATTGTCCTCTGCTCTGAAATCATGTGGGATGTGCAAAATTACACAGGGGAGAAGAATCTTACTAAAAGCTTGGTGATTCCCAGTTATTGGGAAGCCCAGGAGGCCCTAGACCCCTCTCAAGTCTTTCTTCTGGCCCACTTTTTGCCAGTCTGCTGCTCCCTGGTGTGGTGCGCAGGGTGAGGCATGGTCACATTGTCCTCCCTGTCCTTGCCACAGGCCAGGAGCAGGGCTGTCGCTCCCGTTCCGCCTGCCTAGGCTGCAACCAACCAACCACTTAGTGTGGAGGATGCCACAGCTTTGCCCCCTTGCCCGGCCGGTTTGGAATCAGCCAGGAGGGCCCCCGCAGCCCAAGGATCTTGGAGTGATGGGACCCCTCCGAAAGCTCTACCTACAGCCTGGCAGAGGCACAGTTTCTCAGCACCAACATTTGCAATTACCAGCCTGCAACTGCATTTCTCTAAGACTCTGTGCTGCGATGCACGCTCCCAAGGGGAGTTCTGCTCAGGGGAGAGTGTGTCCCTGGCCAGCACAGTGCAGGGACTCGTAAATAGGAAGGGGAATGAGCTTTAAGACTCTATGGCAGTTTTTTATCCCATCTTTGAAGCTGATGCTGCACTCACAGGAGCTCCTATCCTGGGCCAGAGAGGCTGATAGCCTCGCAAAGTCAGTGGTGGGCACACGGCACAAAACAGGCACCCTCAAAGATGCATAGGGCCCATTTAAGAGTATCCCAGGGGGAACAGGGTTCATCCTGGCAAAAAGTAGGGGTCCTGGAGTGGTCCCTCCCCACAACTGGAGAGTTGGTCACTAAAGGACTCAGCTGAGAGTGTAAATACAGAACGGGGCAGAGGTGTAGTAGAGTTCCCAAGGGGGTCCTGCTGGGTGCCCTTCCCGTGCCCAGCCCGCTGCCTTGGGCATCCCAGGTGGCACCATTTCTGCAGTGCCTGGCCAGAGGGTCCCCACGCAGAGCTCGTCTCAACACGCTGACTTTTTTATGGCAAGTGACACCCTGTGGCCGAATTGTGAACGAGCACTGTGCACAACATGGGTGCTGCGCATGGCTGGGAGCTGGGTTCCAACCACAGCCCTGAAGGCCAGTGCAGCGGGCAGCCGAGCACCCAAAACAGGGCATGAAATCACGGCTGGCTCCAAGGAGGCACAGCTGGGGTTCATGTACAGGCTATGTATGTGCATGAGAACAGGAAGGTGGGAATCGTTTTAGACAGCATGATTAAATCCACCATGAGCAGCAGAGCATGGAGCCAGTCAGGAGCTCACTTTGCTTCCAGATTGGAGCAAAGCAAGTGAGAAGAGTTAGATAAATCTGAAGAGATGGAGCCGTGTCACTGCGAAAGCCCCCTTGTTACCGCTGGTGACCCCCCTAACAACCTTGAGAACCTCGCTCTTAACTCTGTGCTATCTCTGCAGGGTACATCACTTCATTCTAGTGCACCAGGCATCAGTGCTTACCCCAGGCGCCAACAGATGGGACCAACACATGCAGCACAGCAGGACCAACGGAGAGTTATTTAATAGACATGAAGTATTGGGGTATCAGACAAACTCTCCAAAGCATCTCTGCTTTGCTGTGCTGTGTCAGGCTCCCCTTGTACCCAGCCTCGTAGGGCTGAGGTGTCTCTGCTGTGGAGTGGCACGCATGGGCAAGCCAGGTATGAGCATCCCTGAGCGAGGCTCTGAGGGACATCTGTGACGGCTGCACCAGATTTCAGAGTTGTCAGAAGGACGAGTAGGTGGGATGGGGGGACGCGTGCATCCTCATTCCATCTTCTGTTGCTCCCCAGGTCCTGGCGTGGTAGGCAATGAGCTCTGTACAAGCTGAGGCTCTTTATGAGTTGCTGAGCTCCAGAACAGCCCCTCTACTACTGTGCACACGTGGATGCAAGGGGTGATCGGGGCTGGGCTGCTTCCAAGGGCTCGTTCGTCCCCAAAAAGGGCCCAGGCAGCTTCCTAGGGACGTGCCTGTGTGCAGCACACCGGGCACCGCCAGCCCCGCTCCGTGCGCTGAGCGGCGCGGAGCTGCTGCCCGCCCTGCCGCTCCGGGTGCGCCGGGCACCGCTGCCTTCCCGCTGCCCACACAGCCCAGCCTGCCCAGGCCCAGCTCAGCTCTCAAAGGCAGCGGTCACCCCGCAGCAAAGGCATCGCCGGCAGCAGCCGCTTTGCGGAAATGCCGCCTGGGGCACTGGGTCTTGGCACAGCCCCGCCGGCTGCTGGGTGACAACCTTCTCTTTACGTGACCCTTTGGTGGCCAAGTCGGGCTCGGGCCTGCCGGCCACGCGGGGGTGCTCCTTGTCAGCCTTAATGGCGAGGAAAGTCGCCAGGTCCAAGTCAAGCATGGCCACTCCGCCGCGCGGGGTGGGCGTGTTTTGGCGGCACTGCGGGCAGGGGATCCAGCGCTGCTCGTTGGCGATGGCATCGAGGCGCTTGAGGCAGGCCTGGCAGAAGGTATGGCCGCAATAGAGGCGCCGCGGCAGCCGGCTGCTCAGGTCGTAGGAGGAGTAGCAGATGATGCAGTCGACCCTGTGGCTGCCGCGGCTTGGGCTGCGCGAGTGGGCCTCGGAGCCCGGCCTTGTGTCCTTCGTAGAGACGTTGCCACCAGCCTGGGACATGCTGGGGAGGGGGACGGGAGAGGAGCCAGTCAGTCCCACAGCCGGGGAGGGCACCTGGACGTGGAAAAGGCCAGAGGGATGGAGGGCACCTCCGAGAGGGAAAGGATACACCCGAAATGTGGCAGAAACACACACCAGCACCACATGGCACGTTCCCAGGTCATCTGGGCAAGCCCCATGCCCAGTATATCTCTGCCCCGTGCCTGGTGCTGCCCGTAAAAGCAGGACCCAGCCACTACAGCAGACCCAAGAGCCTCCCCTGCAGCTGGGGAGGGTGCACTTTGCCCCATGCCGCCCATGTTCCCACCAGGAGCTCTGCCAGGCGCCCCTTCCTGCCCCCAGGAGCAGATGCAGATGAGCAGCTGCAGGGCAGATCTTGGTGCCTGCCTGGGCCCCGGGCCCACGTGAACCCGGAGCAGGAGGCAGTGGGTCGGCCCTGTGGGCAGAGGAGCAGCTCCCGGTGCCCTGGCTGTGCCCAGCTCCCCTCTCCTGCCACCCAGGCTGCGACAGGGTGCCCCAGCATGGCTCTCAGTGCCAGAGGGGCAGCCCCACAAGCTGCGGGAGATGAATTGTCCCAAGCTGCTGGAGATGACTGCGGGGTCCAGCCTCACGTGAAGAAGGTCTGGTCCCTGATAATGGTTTTCAGACCCTCTCCCATAGCCCACCAGGACCCAGCTCCCTCTGTACCCATGAGCTCAAGCATTTTGGTGTGTGCAGGCACCACCTCCTTCCCAGTGCCCCATCCCTACCTGTCCTGAGGCGTTCTTCTCTCTCCAGGGTCTCAGGTGAGGGGGCAGAAAGGCTGCCCTGTCCCAGGGGGCTCTGGCAGTCCTGCAGAGAGCATGAGGGGCCTGAGCCGTGAGCAGCTCGGGTCCCTGCTGCCGTGACTCTGGCAATGGGAAGAGGCTCACTTTTCAGGGACAAGTGTGCTATCGGATCTGCTGCTGGGAAGCCAAGCCCGTGCGATTGGGTTACAAGCACCCAGATAACAAAGCCCTCCGAAATCTAAGCCCTCCCTCCCCGTGTGCTGCCCTGCGAGCCTTTACTGCATTAACCAGCAGGAGAAACCCTCTGTGTGAGGCTGAGGAGCCCCCAGCTTCACCTCTTTGCAGAAGCATCTTGGAAATCAGCTAGCTGTACTTGGACAGCAGCGACAGAGTGCTCCGGAGCTTCGAGGCGCCCGCCAGCAGCAGGGCACACCCGGGAAGATGCTGGCCAGCAAAGGCTTTGACGACACAGGGGCCACCACAGCTGCTGCCCGGCATGCACGGCTCGCACCTTCGCAGGTGGTCCAGGCTGACGGGGAGGGTGATGGGTAGAGTGGGGGACCCAGGCTAGAGAGCCTGGGCAAGGAGCAGGGGGATGCAGAGGGGTTGATGCTGGGGCAGGGGCTGGCATGGGTGCAAGGACACTGAGCCTGCTTGTGGGGCTGAGCTGGCAGTGCCCGTGTGGGGGACAGGACAGCAGGACAGAGGCTGTCCGGTGTTTGCAGGAGACTGTTCCGACCAGTGCCAGCAGGACAAGTGCCAGCGGTGGGCAGGTTGTGGGGGGTGTTGAACTGGGCAGATGCTGGGAAGCCTGGGTGAAGGACTGGAGCACCTCAGAAGTGTCCCAGCTCCCCCTCCTAGGATTGCGTATCGCTGGAGCTGAGGGACAAGGAGGGACACAAGAGTTGTGCCAGCAGCAGTGGCTCGAGGATGTCTGATGCCTGCGGTCAGCGGGCAGGCCAGGAGCAGGGATTGGGGGAGACCAGCAGCTCAGCTCCCCTGCCACCAAACACACCGCTGAGAGCTGTCCTTGCTCTTCCCGCAGAGGCTACAGGCTCTCATGTTGAGCCCAGGCTTTCTGCCTGACTGTTAGCACCCCACTCTGCTCTCTCAGGCTGCATCCTGCTCAGTCCTGTACTTTCCTCCTTGGGTTGCTCACAGAGCATCCGTGATGTCCTCCTGGACAACGTGGAGGTTGCCTGGGCAAGGCAGTAGACCTGGCAGCACAGCAGCCTCCAGGTCACAAGCTTTCCCCAGCCTGGAGCAACAATAAAACGGGACATGTGGGAGAGAAGGCAGCTAAACAACACCTGCTCTTGAGCACTGGGGTGGGATGATGCTCATCACTAAGCATGGCTGGGGAAGGATCTGGCACCCCCTCAGTAGGACCTTCAGGGTTTACCCTTATGCATGACCCACAGGAGACGCCAGGAACTCAATGCCAGCCCCTCTCGCACAAACCCTCAGTCCCGCAGGAAATGGTACCCTCTGTAAGGAGAGTGCTCAGCAGGATTAGCATCTTGGCCTGCAAAACAGGGAATACTGTAAAGGGGTGGAGGAGACCGCTGTACCCAGCCTGAGAGGATGTGGGCAAGAAGAGCACCTCGTGGAAGGAGGCCAGGGCTGGCCGGGCCGGGACAGCCAGCCGCATTTCTGCGTGGGAGCGGGAGAGGGCAGCAGCCCCTGCTCCAGCCGCGCAGGCAGCGAAGCCAGCAGGGAGCCAGGCACTGCTCTCCTTCGCTGTCCCCCTGCCACACCTTTGGGCCACTCTCAGGCCACATTTCCAACACGCTTTGGCATCAAGAAACAGGTGTTTTGAGTAGAGGCTGAGCCTCCCAGGGACGCTGGATTTGGTGAACCAGAGCCTTGTGGAAAGGTTTGACTCTCACCCTGTGTTCGGGAGCAAGGCGGCAGCCTGGCAGCACAGCGGCCCCCAGGTCCCAGCCCTCCTCAGGCTGCCCGGTGCTCCCAACAAGCCCCGCACGGGCAGAGAGGCCGGCACGTGGCGGGGAGGTGCTGCTCATGCACCAGGATGCCCTGCCACTGCCCAAGCCAACCCCGTAGCTGCCCTCCTGCAGGGCGCCCTCCTGCTGCCGCCAACCCCTCAGGGCTGGATGCGGAGCTGGATGCGGAGCTCTGGCCCGCGCTGCAAGCACTGTGTGGGCACCCATTGCATGTGCCCCTCCAGGGGGGCAGCCTGCGGATTGCCTCTCCGCTCACTCTGCTGGCCACAGCTTGAAGGGCACAAGCTCAGGGCAGGGCTGTGTGTGCTGGGGACCTTGGACAGGCCAGTTTCTGTTGAAGACCGGAGCCGTCACTTGTGCTCTGGGTGGAGCAGGAACCAGCCGAGTGGGATTCCTGCTGTGCCCTGACATCCGAGGGCAAGGCCAGGCTGGGATGGGTGCTTCCCTGCTTGCTCCGTGGAGCTGATGAATGTTTAACAGCAGGACCGTTCCCCGACCTCCGCCTGCCAGCAGCCGCCTGGCGCGGGGCCCGCGCGCGCCTGCACCCGTGCACAGGGCACATGTGAGGCTGCTGGGGTGTGCAGAGAGGAGAGGCATGTACACCTGCATGCACAAAGCCATGTCCATGCTGTCCTGCCATGTGTGCGTGCCCAGAGACGGCGCAGAGGCGTATGTGAACTGGGTGCGTGGCCACACATGCACATATAGACACAGAGCTGGAGAGATTCGTCTCGTCTTCCAGGTCGTGGCGGAGCCTCCCCAGCTGCCGAGCCGCCTGGGGCTCCCACACTGGTAAATGGGCACCTTGGAGAGGCTCCTTGAGCCCAGCTTGGGGCATATGCGTGGCAGCAAATTCCACGGCAGCAGAGAGGAGAGCGCCCCAGGGGCACCGCTGCAGCTCCCGCTTGCTGTGCGCTCTCCCTCCAAACCTCATGTGCGCAGGGGTGCCGCGTTTTCTGCGTGTCCCAGAGCAGGTGAGGTGTCACCCTCCCTTCCAAAGGACTGCAGTGCCAGCCTGGGCTGACTCACGGGCTCCAGGGTGCTGGGTGGGCAGACACCAGTCTCCTTTGGCCAGCGGAAACCAGGCCCAGGGGAGAGGGGCAGTCTCGTCTGTGCGCACACCCGAGAATACACATGGTCCTGCCCCGGGGGGCCATCACCTCCCTGTGCCTGACGGCCTCATAGCAATACTTTAAGTCCCCATCCCTGTCCCCCAGGCACACAGACCTCTCTATGCCCTCTTATCCCCTCCCAGCACTTGCCAGTCCCCTGGCACATACACACTTGGTCCATCCTGTCCCTGGCAGGGCTTCTGCAATGCCCAGGTGCTGTGTCCTGTGTGGGGCTCATGCACCCCGGCGGCTGTAGCCATGTGCCGTGCTGGTGTCTCTTGTGTCTTTCACCCCTCTGCTGCAGGTGTGGGGGAGCCCTTGGGTGCAAGGGGACATTTACACACTGCTGAGCCACGCGTGGCACCAGGGAGCACAGAGCCCGCAGCCCTGGCTCTGCTCCTCATGTCCTGCTGCAGGAAGTACCGGTGAAAATCGCCAGGTCTGGATACAGGGGAGGCTGTATCTGGAAACAGCAACTCCAAGCCCCGGTGGGAAAGGGCCTGTCAAAGCCAGAGACTTCCCCACCCTCTTCCCAAGGCCTAGATTACACCCAGCCCCAAGAGCTGCAGAGACCTTGAACAGAGCCGGACAAGGAGCAGGCGTCATCAGGAGGGTGCAAAGGTCCGGGCCAGGAGGGCCAGGCTCTGCTTGGGCTGCGCATCGCCGCCCACGCGGAGCACACGCAGGAGACACCAGCCACCCGGTACCAGCCTCCGCACGCCCAAGCCTCGGTGAACACAGCCTGCACGCGGGGCACCCAGCGAGACAGGGCCCCACTGCGGTCCGTGTCCCCCAAAGCTGCATCCACACCGAGGCCTGGGCCCTCTCGGTGGGCGGCATTACTCTTGGGCACGATGCTCTCTTCCCACCACTGTTCCTCGGCACCTTGTGTGCAGGCTTCAGCTTAATCATTGCCCAGGCGGCTGGCGGGGAGCGCTGTGCCCAGCCTCTCCTGGTTTGTTTGTCATCACCCCAAGGTTAAGCGGAGCGAAGGGCAGTGGCGGCACGTACCATGCTGCCAGCGGGCTCTCGGTCCTGCCAGGACCCAGGACTTTGTCTGGGCTAGGCTGCCCCATCCTGTGTCATGGGGACAGAGTGGAGCCACCTGAGCCTCCCCGGTGAGGCAGAACCTGCCAGGCCGAGGGCTCTGCTGGAAA